GCTCGCTCAAACAAACACCACTTCTTCACTCCTCACTACCCTGTATCTCTCTCTCTACAATGAGCTCGTCACGAATCGATTCGGAGAAGCCGGCCATGGTGTCGGATTCGTCAAACCCCGATTCACTGTTTTCTACTAAGACTCCTGACAAGACGGTGTCTCTTCCTACCAGATCTCTTAACAGCGACGTCTCTGTCTTATTCCCAAAGATTAAGCCCCAACCCTCTGGACCCGTTAAGAGACGGATCTTCTCTCCGCCGCGAAAACCTGTAAAAGTTGTGAAATTACCCGAAAGGTGAGATTTGATTGTTCGATTGCTCTTACACTGTTCTCGATTTGGGCTCTGCTTTTTTCAATTTTGGTGGGTTTTTTTTTTGGTATTGCAGGTTTGTGATTCTGGAGGAATTTTTCAATGGGTTAGACACTTCGATTAGGTTGCTTAAATTAAAGGGCTCTTTGACTACATTCGCCAATATCTGTCCCAAGATCGAGTATCTCACTAATCGGTAAAGCTATTGACTTTACTAAATTTCTTTTTCTTTTGAAGAACATCAATTTAACTGATCCTAGTAGATCTGGAGGGTGCATCTGATTATCTAATGTCTCTTGATACCATAATGCGCCTGTATATGTGTGTGTTGTTTGATTGTATTTGTTTGGCCAATGTGGGTCTACAGGGTATTCTCGTATGGTGATTTGGCTCAGATGAAGCATATTTATCCAGAAGCCATTGAAGTAAAGAGAGTGTTGAAGTATGATGAAGGCACTAGTTGTATGAGACCTAGTCTTCACATTAACTTAAATACCGACGCAATTGTACTTGACGGTACAAGTTGCGGAACGAAATACATGGAGCTTAGGAAAGTGTTCCACTCAAAGCTTGTAGATTTTCACAATGCTCATCCTAAGGTACATATTATGATTCCTAATCTAGAACTATTTGATTGTGGCTTTTGAGTTTGGCATTTTATATCTGATTGATTCTTCATCTTTTGTTATTTGTGTATAGGATGAGATTCCGAAAGAACTTCTTCCTGAACCTTTCAATTCCCCTGAACCGGATAGTTATTCAGACATAGTAAGTGTAGACTTGGGAGCATCAAAACTTGAAGTTGAAGGGTTTGATGTTCATATGGAGGAGATAGAGCAAGAACAACAAATAGCCAACAAAGTAATTTCAGATTCGACTTTTTCGGCTGGTACTGAGGAATGCTTATCATCATCACATACGGAGTCAAGAATAGTTGGAGCACCCAAACTTGAAGTTGAAGAGTTTGATGTTCGTATGGAGGAGATGGAGCAAGAACAATGTATAAGCGACAAAGTGATTCCAGATTCGACTTTATCAGCTGGTACTGAGGAATGCTTATTATCACACTCAGAGTCAAGAATAGTTGGAACGCCAGTCAAAGCTTTATCCACTCCCTCCAAGGACCTATCAACACCAATCCGGCTCATGAGTGCTACACCGACATTGCAGCCATCTAGAAGATGTATTACGATGACTCCAGATGATGATAATGACTCTGTTAGATCAACACATGGTATAGAAAAGCGTCCATCTCGCACGAGGCGTGTGATTTTCAACACTGGTGAAGCTGAAGTTGTGAAAGATGACATCAGTAACAAAACTAAAGGTAGCAACTATGAAGCTGATGATGTTTCTGGTGAAGATAGTCTTCTGCACTCGGTAAGCGATGCTTTTCCTTGCAACCTTTCACATTGTATCCATTTTCAGTTGCAAACATTATTGAAGCAGCAACTTTGCTTACCATTTTAGTGTGCTCTTGCAGATGAAAGAGAAACCAAAGGCTGGACCAGAGAAGCAAAATTTACCTAAGCTTGTTGATTTGATTCATAAGTTGTTTCACTCAACAAAGCGAACAGTCATCACAAAGGAGGAGCTTCTTCACAAGCTTATTGCATGCCAAATCGATATAACCGATAGAAGTATGGATAGTTATATCGAATGTTTTACAATTTTCCCGGCTCTTCTTCCTTGAAAAGGTCTCACAGTTTCTTTCTTGCTTTGTCTTCTCAGAGGAAGTGGAGGAACAAGTAAGGTTGATGTTGCAATTGGTTCCGGATTGGATCTCCGAAACAAAAGCGTCTTCTGGTGATTTTCTTGTCCGGTGAGTATTATTACCCGTAGATGTTCCACCACCAAAAATGATTTTCTTGATTTTGGTCCTTAAGTTCACAATAACGAAACACTCTTTGCTTTGTATTAGAAACAGCTTTTTTGTTGCTTCTTCAGGGTTTAATATTTGAACACATTTTTTGGTTTCTGCAGCATCAATAAAATGTCGACTGCTGAAACGGTACGAGCAAGACTTGAGGAAGCAACAACTACCTCACAGGGCATTTTCTCCGTCTACTGAAATATAAACTGATTTTTTTTTTGGTCCTCTTAGTTCAGTTATCATTATCCTTTATAAATTTCTCATTTCTAAGCTGATTCAGCCTATATAAAGTGTTATAAACTTTATTATATATTCGTTTGTTTTAAAACATATTTAATTATGAAATCCTCCTATCAATTCTTGTAATTTTTGTCTATTATTAAGACTTGCATTTTATGGATTCAAGCCAGTGGAGGAAAACAATAATAAGTTGATTCGTTTAATGAATGTATGATAAGCAAAAACGAAAAAGACAAATTAAAGTCTAGAATTTGAAAATCCTAGTGGTAAAGCTGAGCACTTTAAAAGTAGTTAATAAGTGGAGAAAAGGAAACAAACCTATGGAACAGTGACTACATTAGAAAGGACAAGTAGCTAAAAGTTGATATTATAGTTATCTCATAAGCCTTTTACAATGATAAATAAAGTAGCCTAGCTTAGATAAGGTTTGATAATAAAAAGGGTCATGATGCTGTTTTTTCATGAAAGCAAAGTCTTTAAAGACTTGGAAAACCCGTACGAGAGAGTTAAAAGTTGTTGAATTCAAGCCAAGATTCTTCTATTAGTCTTGTCTTGAATGTGTTGAATATGACACAGTTATTTTGTTTAATCCATAAGAGGTTATTCTTCTACAATCTACAGTCACACAATATATAC